GACTGGTGTTTTTCTCTCAAGGATTTCAGTCATGTCTGACATAATTTTCACACACATGTACACACACACTCACTTAATTTCATTAAAAGCTATTGTAAGTAATAAAAAAAAACAGAAACAGAACATAAGCATGAACTCGATAACAACCGACCAAATGCGTTTGCTGGTTGTTTACAACTTCCCTCGTGGACGTGAGCAAATTTTGTAAAATGTTCACGCATTTCAACATAAACATTAAAATGACACACACACTCACGCACACATACAATTTTGTTTTTGGTTAAAATATTAATGGCCAATTTGTTGGATTTTTTTCAATTTACTTATGCAGGACATTTTTGGCAAGCAAAACAAACAAAGAGAAATAAAAAAAACAAATTTTGCGAATTTGTTAATAAAGAAAGTTTTGAGTTTTAGGCCGTGCTTGGGTGGTTGGGTTCGGGGTTTTTATGTGTTAACAACATAACAGCAACAACAACAACAAGAAATAATAATAAAAAATAAACTTTAATGCTATTAACAGCAAAATTTATGGCCTGGCCTAATGCCACGAATACTAATGAATGGAGCCAAAATGAGAGACGAATGAATCAAACTTTGTTCCCAGCGCAAAAAATTAGAAAAAATAAATTACACGCATACACACACACTTTGAAACTTTGTTTTCATGAGCTGCAAAATCTGAGAACCGAGGAAGAGTTGGTGGTGCGGGGTAAAGTAACAAAAAACCAATTATCTGTCTTTAAGTGACTTGAAATAACAACTCGATAATTCTTTGTGAACTTACAGTTTGCCAAAGAGTGTTTCAAAGGGGAATAGAGGGAGCGAGGGAAAGAGAGGGGTATAGAAGTAATGACAAGAAAAACGCTTAGAAATTCTTTATTGATGAATCGTAAGAAAACAAACAAATAAACACAGCAGGAAAAAAATACACCAGCACCCAGAGCCATAGAATGCTACCACCACCACCATAGACCTTACCATCCGGCACCACCATCCGAACCATACACATCTTCCTCTCAAGTCATTATCTTTACCGGGTTATTTCTTTCTTTTTCTTCTTTTTGTTATTCTATTTTGAACAGAGAACCAACTTTAATTAAAGTGTAAAAATGGTATCTAAACACCAAGTGAGTCAAACCCTTGGCCTTTCCCCTCCAACCCCAAACTATTCTGTAATGAAAAAGAAATAGAATTTTAATGAAAGACCCAACTTAGCCCATAAAGTCATCTGGTGTTATTGTTTTTCGATATTTTTTTCATGGCACTTAAATGGGGATTTAGAGGAGATCGGGAAAATCCAAATAAACTTTAGTTTTTCTCCCACTGCCCACCTCTTTCTCTCTCCACCCTCTCTCTTCTGATGCAACGACATCACATCATATCAATGCTACACATTAATTAGAAAATAAAGTCGTAAGAAAACAGAATTTCCAGGCAGATGGTATAAATTGTCTTTTAATAGACCAAACGACATTAAATTGTTGATATTGGCCAAGCCAAAAGGAGGAAAAACTAAACGATAACAGATTTTTTAATTAAATTTGAAGAAAAAAACTGGCGTTCAATAAAAATAAACTTGCAAATGGCAAATAAATTCTTCTTCATTGTTATGATAAAAAAACATTATTTGATAGGTAGGATGGACAATTCAGCAAAAGAAAAAATTAATTTCATAAAGAAAACCTCAACTCTGTTAGGTTTTCTTATACAAAGAAGTAATTCAGCTAGGCTTTTCTTATAGAAAAAATCAATTCAGCTACTGTTTCTTTAAGAAAACACAATTCATCTTGGTTTTTCTACAGAAAAACATAATTCAGCTATTTTCTCTTAAAGAAAAATTCAATTCAGCTGGTTTTTTTATAGAAAACATAATTCAGCTAGTTTTTCTTGAAGAAAGATGCAATTCAGCTGGGCTTTTGTTATAGAAAGAAACAAATCAGCTAGTTTTTCTTGAAGAAAACTCAATTCAGCTGGGTTTTCTTATAGAAAGGTACCAGTTAGCTCGTTTTTCTTCAAGAAAATTCAATTCAGCAAGGCTTTCTCATGGAAAAAACACAATTCAGCTAGGTTTTCTTAAAGAAAGAAGCAATTCAGCTAGGCTTTTCTTAAAGGAAAACAGTTTTTTCTAGTTTTTCCTTTAATAAATCTTAATTCAGTTAGGTTTTATTATAGAAAAACACAATTCAGCTAGGTTTCCTTAAAGAAAAATGTAATTCAGCTGGGATTTTATAAAGAAAAACACAATAAAGTCAAAATTTTAAATGGAAAAACTCAATTCAGCTAGGTTTTTTAGAAGAAAAGCACAATTCAGCTAGGGTTTCCCAAAGAAAAACTCAATTCAGCTGGGCTTTCTTACAGAAAAGCTTAATAAAACAAAATTTCATATAGAAAAACTCAATTCAGCTAGATGCTAACAAAGCAAAAATCAATACAGACAGGTTTTCTTATAGAAAATAATCATACCAACAAACTCAATTCAGCTAGATTTTTTATAGAAAAACTCAAAGAATATAAGTCTTTGCAAAGAAAATCATAATTCAGCTGGGATTTATTTTAAAAATATTGAATTCAGCTGCGGGTTCTTAAAGAAAAAATCAATTAAGCTAGGTTTTCTTATAGAAGTTATGTTTTTGGAAAGAAAAACACAATTCAGCTTGGTTTTCTTAGAGAATAAATTAATTCAGCTAGGATTTCCTAAAGAAAAAAATCAATTCAACTGGGTTTTCTTACAGAAAAACTCAATTCAGCTAGGGTTTCTTGAAAAAAAAAATTAATTCAGTTTGGGTTTCTTAATGGAAAACTTTATTCAGCTAGAGTTTCTTATAGCAAAACGCAATAACAATAAGTTTTTGATAAGAAAAATACAATTCAGCTAGGTTTTCTCTTCGAAAATCTCAATTCAGCTAAGGTTTCTTAAAGAAAAACACAATTCAGCTAGGATTTCTTGAAGAAAAACTTAATAAAGCAAGATTTTATTAAAGACAAAAATCTATTTAAATAGATTTTCCTACAGAAAAACTCAATTCAGCTAGGTTTTGTTATAGAAACAGTCAATTCAGCAGGGTTTTCTTATATACAATTCAATTCAGCCAGATCTTTATACAGAAAAACTCAATTAAGATAGGTTTTTGTAAAGAAAAACTTTATTCAGCTAGGTTTTCTTATTGAAAAACTCAATTCAGCTAGGATTTCTTGTTGAAATACACAATTCAGCTAGGTTTGCTTACAGAAAAACATAATTCAGCTACGTTTTCTTATAGAAGAACTCAATTCAGCTAGGATTTCTTGTTGAAAAACACACTTCAGCTATGTTTTCTTATATAAAAACTAAATGTAGCAGGATTTTCTTATATAAAAATTCTATTCTGCTTGATTTTTATACAGAAAAACTCAATTCAGCTAGGGGTTTTTTTAAGAAAAACTTAATTCAGCTAGGTTCTCTTACAGAAAACAATTAATTCAGCACAGTTTTTCTTAAGATAAGCTGAATTCAGCGGAGATTTTTAATATAAAACATAACCAATAACATCCAATTCAACGAAAAACACAATTCAGCTACGTTTTTTTCTTATGAAGAACACAATTCAGCAAAGTTTTTCTTCCGATACGCTGAATTCAGCAGAGATTTCTAATATAATAAACAATCCAATAACATGCAATTCAACGAAAAACACAATTCAGCTACGTTTTTCCTTATGAACACAATTCAGCAAGTAAATAAAAACTTTATGTATCAAAGTTTTTCCATAAAAAATTTTCATATTTTTTTTAATTTAAAAAAAAATTTACAATAGTTGTGTTTGTGTGTGTTTTTTTCTGCTATTTCCCCACAATTCTGCTAAATTGTTTTTTTTTTTTTTTTTTTGTTTTATTTATGCATTAAGTGTTCCATTTAAAGTTGTATAACTTTAATGTCTTGGCCACTCGCAATAAAGAAACTAGAATAGAAAAAATCCACACAAACACACACACATCCACACAAAATCCAAAACCAAAAAAAAACACAAAATTATGATTTATGAGTTTTTATTGTTCCCGTATGGAGGAACTACTTGAACATGTACAAGTTCTCAATATGCATGAGTTCTGTTTTCGATTCTGTTTTTTTCTTCTATTTTTTGTTTTTGTTGTTACTTCATAAGAAATGTGGAAGAATGCCAAAACATGTTAGAATACTAAACGTAGCAGGATTTTGTTGTTGTATTTTTTTCGGATAGGAAATGTTCTTTTTTTGTTAAATAAAAAAGTCATTATGAGGGTTAAATATGGACAAAAAAAGAATACGAAGCAAAAAGAACTGCGACCAAACACAATACCACACCTTGTGGTGGTGGTGGGCAAGAATCAAAAAGCCAACCTCAAGAACGCACACACACACATACCAATTGAAGAGTCGTAAGACATTGTAGAGTGTAAGAACCCCTCGCCTTAATGGCTGCCCAAAGTCTGGCGAGCATTAATTGTTTAATTGATTTGATTAAATATGCTCTGTGTAATTAAGCAACAACAACAAGAATATTTTTCACATAAATTTCAATTATTTCTATTTTTGTTGTTGTTTTTTTCCTTTTCTCAAGTCTATTTTTTTATTAAATTATTTCGAAATTTGTTTTTTTAATAAGGTATTAATTTCATTCTCTTCGTCTTTTCTTTTTTTCTTTGCAGTTTAAATTGCCTGTAGTGGGTAATGGATTGTCAACGCCTGCAGATTTTGAAAAAACCCCATACAGCTCACCATAATCCCAAATTTAAAAATTTGAAAATTTAAAGTAAAAAAAAATTGGAAGAAAAATTGGAAAAATAAATTCCAAGAGCAAAACAAAAAAACTTTGTGAACGAAGGCCTTAAACTGTGATTTTAATTTATAAGTGTTTCAAACAAAAACAACAACAACAAATATTTTTTTTAGCTTTTCAACAAAAGCTGAAAAAGAAAACGCCTTATTTTTTTGCAAAAAAAAATTAATACAAAATAATTTTTTTAACAACACCCTCAAAATGTTTAATTTAAATATACCTCCCTCATCGCTGTTGGGTGTGGAAGGCTCTGGCGGCCTCTGCTCCAAGCCCAATACACCCGAAATTCTCAATTCTCTAATTGCCATGACAAATCCCCTGGATAATTATAATTTTAATGCCAACAACAACAACTCCAGTGCCTCAACACCGAATTCGGTGACAGTGCGCAATTTTTCTAATCAGGTGGGTAGCCAAAAAAATAATTTTCTTAAAAAAAATAAAAACAAAAAACTAATTATGTAATTATTTTCCAGAATATCTCCCAGGATAGCTGTCATTCGAGCAGCTCCTCAACACCATTGGATTCACCTGCTAATACAAATTTTACGCCCAGTGTACAACAGGTAGGCCTCCCAGAAGACTATTTAATTTTTGTTTTAACTATACACACACAAAAATACAACAACATTATAAAAAACATATATATGTATATATATATAATACATATATATATATATATAAAAAATATATACACTATATATATATATATATATACCATATGCAAATCATAGTATTACTCATAACACACACAATTTTTTTTTTCATTGATGTCCGGCCACAAGTTGCTCCTCCAACAACAACAAAATACTATTTTTTTCTTCCAATTCATTCACAAAACGAAAAAATAAACTTAAATACACACACACAAAAAAGATCTCAAAAAAGAGCTGAAATGGTGCCATTTAATTGGAGACGTTTGCCAAATTGCGCCCACGCCTCAGCGAGTGGCTGGATGGCCGGCCGACCAGTGTTTTTCTTATGTGGTTGTTGTTGTTGTTGGGTTTTTTTACTTTTCATGACAGCTTTCTGAAGGCGTAAAATAATAATTTAGAGCAGTGGAAACTTAGTATTTGGGACAGAGGAAATTTTAAATTAAGATTTTAAATTTTAAAAATATTCAGATTTTTTAAGAAAAAAATATTTTTTTATAAAAAAAAAATTATAAAAAATATTTTTTTATAAAAATATTTTTTTACAAAAAAATATTTTTTGGAATTTTTTTAAAGAAAAAATATTTCAAAAAAAATTTGGGACAGAGGAAATTCAAAATTTAAATTTTCAACTAAAAAAAAATTCTTCAATTTTATGCGATTTTTTTAGGGAAAAAACATTGTTTATATAAAAAAAATATTTTTTGGAATTTTTATAAACACAAAATATTTCAAAAAATTTCTTAAAAAATTTAAAACTCTGAGGAAACGAATATTAATTTCGAGCAGGGGAAACTTAATAAATGGAACTGAGGAAATTTAAAAACAACATTTTGGGACAACATTTTGCACAGAGTACTGAATTAGGTCCAGATTGATATCTGCGAAGTTTTGTTAAAATCGGTTCAGATTTAGATATAGTTCCCATATGTAGTTTCGTCCGATTTTTAGTAAATGATACCCCAAAGTTATAACAAAAAACAAATGGTGTATGCAAGGGTAGCTCGATTAGGACCATGTGATTATATATAGCTCCCATACTCGAATTTTACTCGATTTCATACAAATGGTACAACAAAGAATCCAAGTCTGCCCGTTTGACAAGCAATTTTTCATTGATTCCAGAATGGTTTGCGTATGGATTTTTTTTCAATTGGTTCAAATATCTATCTAGATAGCACATTTAATTTCGCCCGATTCCATCTCAATAGTCCTCCAAAAATTCTATGTCTGCTCTATCTGCAGGATATTGCAGATATTAACATCTCTTTTATGTACCCAAAATGGTGAAGGGTATCATATAGTTGGCTCCGTCCGACTTTTGAACTTTCATTACTGGTTTATATTAAAATAGTTATCTGATTTGTTCCGCGTTATGGGTTTGTTCCTAAGACTCTGTTGTAATCATTTCACCTGCGGAGGATAGAACGTAAGGTTCGATAATGAACTATGTATAAAGGCCTAAACCCTGTGTGGGACGTAGCAGAAGGAGTGGACCGATATTTCCCATCTTCGAACTTGAACAAAGTATGGAATAAATAATAAGATTGACAAAGTTTGGATGAAATCAAAAAATTTTCTGAAATGGATTTGGTCCAAAGAAACATGGGGTGTAGAACCAATATTTCGATGAGGCACATTTTCACTGTATCAAAGTGTATACACCCTCATTAGCCATAAGGCTGAGGATATAAATATCCATTAAAAATTGCTGAAATTTGTATTTCAAAATCAGTTTGTAGAAAGGTCACTTTTTGATATGTTCCCCATATTTTCATTTTAAGTACCTGTCAGTATATCTATGGTGGATGGTGTCCAAAGTTCGGCCCGGCCGAACTTAACGCTTTTTCACTTGTTATTACTTATTTCTTTTACAAACCTCTCTTCTTCTTTTATACAAAATTTAAAATTAAAAAAAAAAAATTTCTTCTTCTGTGCACTTATTTTATTTGATTTCACGCCTTCATTCCATCCACAGCAATATCCGAACAAATTGAAATTGTAAAATGTCATAAAAACTGACAGTTAAATGCGTGCGGGTTTTTTGTGCATCATGCCCCATACCACAGCAGCAGAAACATACATAACTACACACATATATATGGAAGATTAGTAAGCCTCATATAACCGCAAAAAACATCAAATGATATAGAAAAAAAAACATTGTTTTTGTTGTTGTAGTATTTTTTTTTTTTTTTTGCAACAACTAGAAAAATAAAACAACATTTAAATACATCGACATTGGCCTTAATGATGCTGTTGCCTGGCTGGCAGTCAACAGGCACATCACACATTTTTTTTCTTTTTTTAATATTTTTTTTTTTTTTCATAATTCTCACAAGTTTAAATAGATTCATTGTAGAGAGAGAAAAGGGATGTGGGTCGGGGAGAATTTTTGTGCGTCACATTTTGATAGTGCAAAAAGCTGGCAAGCATCTGTTTGGTTATTATTTGTGACCACTTCTCATCAGCCGGATCGCATCCACATTGTCCACATCATCGCCGCACCGTACAATTAGATAGATAAATTGTTAAATGTCATAAATAAATGATTTTAATTATTATTGATTTTCATAGTTAAATGCAAATTTCAAAAATATGTAATTGATGTTGTTGCTGTTTTTTTTTGTACGTAGGCTGCTGCAGTGGCTTGCAAATTGTGTGAAGAAATAAAAAAAAATAATTTTTTTTATAGAAAAAAAAAAACATAAAATGTAATCGTTAATAGGAAAAAAATTAATTTTGAAATACGATATTGAAAACAAAACACGCAGTAGAAAATATAGAGAAAATTTTTGAATTTAAAATGAGCTCGATGGACCATTACTTTTCAGAAAATTATTTTTTTTTTTTTTGTTTTACTTTCCGACAGATTTTTTTTTTATTTCAACATATCCTAATTTTTTTTAAGGAAAACAATTTTAATAGGAAAAAATTAATTTGAAATACGATATTGCAAACAAAACACGCAGAAGACAATATAGAAAAAAAATTTTGAATTTAAAATGAGCTCGAAAGACCATTACTTTTCAGGAAATTATTTTTTTTTTACTTTCCGACAGATTTTTTTATTTCAACAAATTCTAATTTTTTCCTAAGGAAAAAATTTTAATAGATCATTTTTTTATAAAAAAAAAAATAATAATTCTGTTTTTTTTTTTTTTTTTTTTTGAAATTTCCTAATATTTTGATGACCATAATATTGCTGGAATTAATTTTTTAAGGATGATTTATTTTGAAATATGCTAAATTTCTCTTTTAATATTTCATGTGAAATAATTTCCAATATATTCCATTTTGAAATAAATATGAGTCATTAACGATTGGCTTTACAAAATTTATTACAATACCCACACTAATTGGCCACAAAATCCTCTTAATCATTGAGGCGTTGCAGAACGAACGGTCGGTCAAATTGTTAACAAAAATAATAACAACAAAAATGTGCATTTTGTTAAAAATTTGAAACTTTTTTACCCCAATATTTTATTTCATCATTGTTTTCAATATTTCTTTTTTCTTTCAAGAAGTCAAAGAAAATAAACAGTGTTTCAATATTTGTCTACAAAATGTTTGGTTTGGTCGCAACGGCAACAGCAGCCGCAGCATTCCACAGCCTGCAGTTTTAGGTGCTAAAAAATTAACTTGACAGCAATAATATTTGGTTATTAGTGGTTCGTATTGGAGGTGGGGGAATTTTGGAATTTTTTTCGGAGTTTCGGTAATTCTGCTTCTTCAAAAACAATATTTGGAAATCGAAAATTTGCATATAAAATAATAACAACACCACCCAGCAGCTGCCAACCACAGCCTTATTTTTTTATTGTGTTGTTGCCGTTTTTTTATCACCTCAGCATACATAGTGTTAATTACTTGTATAAATATTAACTTTTGCGTTATGCGGAAACTGCCGAAGAAGAAGAAGAAAAACAATAATTAATAATGTTGACTGAAATACCTGCTTGCTTATTTATACTGGTCAAAAAAATAATTATTTAAAAAAAAAAAAAGATGAAGATACATTTTTTCATGGAGTGGCAGGGAGAGATTTCAGGGGGAATTTATGACCAGGAATTCGAGGAAGACAGATGCAAGGTAGTTTTTGATGGTTAGTAAATGTTTGCAGATTATATAGGAACATTAAAAAATATATATATTTTTTTAAGAATATTTCGTTTGGTTTTATAAAAAATATAAAAAAAATACAATAATATTAAAAAACAGTAAGGAAAGTTCAAAAGTTGGACGGGGCCAACTATATGATACCCTTCGCCACTTTGGGAACATACAAGAGATGTTAATATCTACAATATCCTGTAGATAGAACAGACATAGAATATTTAGAGGACCATTGAGAAGCAATCGGGAGAAATTAAATGTACTATTTAGATAGATATTTGAACCAATTAAAAAAAACCCATGAAATCAATGAAAAATTGCATGTCAAATGGGCAGACTTGTATTCTTTGGTGTACCATTTGTATGAAATCGTGTAAAATTATGTATGGGAGCTATATATAAACACATGGACCTAATTGAGCCACCCTTGCATACACCATTTGTTTTTTGTTATCACTTTATTCTCAATTTAATACCCTCTGCCAAATTTCGTGTTAATCAAACAAACATAGGCCCTACGGTGCACCATTTACATTAAATCGAACGAAAACATATATAAGATCTATATCAAAATCTGAACCGATTTCAACACACCTTATCACACATATTTTTTTTTTTTTTTCTCAAGTGCATTCGCTATGCAAAATCTTGTCCCAATCGGACAAAGTTTGGTGCGTCAAGTTTGGTGCATCATTTACATAAAATAGGACGAAACTATATATGGGAGCTATATGTAAATCTGAACCGATTTTACAAAATTTCGCAGACATCAGTCTGGACCTAATTCAATACTC